GACCCCGCCGCCGCCACCGCCGCCTGCAGGAGGGCGAGCCTGCCCCGGCCTCGCCTCCGTGGATCGGGCCGTGCCCAGCACTCCCGCCCCTGGGGGTTTCCATTTTTTGCCCCACGGATTCTCCTGCCCCTTGCTGCGCCCCTGCCTCGGGAAGGCCAGTCAGTGGATTGCGGGGCTGGCCCTCCTCCCCTTAGAGGCGGACACCGAGGTCTGGGCTGCAGAGGGCAGGGGCTTGTCCGGGCCAGCCGACCCTGCAGAGCTGGCTTCTAATAGCGAGCGGCGCCTGCCAGCGCTGCTGTGCAATGGGTCACGACATGAGTCCAGAGACTGAAACAGGAGACCCTGGGACAGACCCCCGGTGGTAGCACGAGTAGAGAAGTGCCCCGGGCAGCCAGGCCGGTTCTAGCGCCGCGATTCCCCAGTGCTGGAGGTGCTCCCAGGCTGCCCCGAGGCAGCAGTGTCAGCACACCCAGGGGCGCAGGAGCATCGGGTGCGTCAGACGTGTCCTGCAGAGCAGCGGCCTGTGCCCCAGGGGAGCGGCTCTGGTGTATTTCTGGGTCAAAAACGAGTGGAAAGGAAGAGGTGCCGTGTCCTGAAGGGCCTCAGGTCCGAGCCTGAGACCCACTGTGACGGGTTGGGGGCAGGGAGATGGGGTTGGATTTGGACGCAGCCAGAGGCTGTTCTGGGCTTTGCTTCTCTTCTCTCCGCTCTGCTGTGCTGAGATCAGGACCCAAGGACTGAGGAGGGAGCAGGGGAGGATCTGCCCTCTCCTGTTGGCCCCCATTGCTCACTCCACTTTGCACTTCCACTCCGACCTGGCCTGCAGCGCCGGGTCCTTCCTCTGTGGCCCCTCTGGGAGGTGGCAGTGAGCACCCCAGGGCACTGGTGTCTGCCCCCACTAGTGTTGACCTGTCATGCTCCCACAGGCTCTCCCTCCTACCGGCATTTCTACACGGGGGTGCTGGATCCCAGCCCAGGTGTGCCTGCCTTCACTGCCGTGAGCTACGTGAATGACCAGAAAATTCTTCACTATGACAGCGAGACACGGAGAGAGGAGCCACGTGGGGACTGGGTGCAGGGGGCTGTCGACCCAGACTTCTGGGAAAGGGAAACCAGGAGCTTGCGGGGCTGGCAGCGGGGATTTGAAGGGAACCAGGTCACCCTGCGGCATCGCTACAACCAGACCGACTGTAAGTGTGGGCAGGGAGGGGTGGGCAGGAGGACCAGGGGGACCCTGGGACCAAGGGGTGACTGATGAGGGAGTGGGGCAGGCATCTGCCCAGCAGCTTAGGGTAGGGAGCTGGGAGGACATTGCATTGTCTCATGTGCAGTCTCTGGCACCAGCCAGCCAGCTACTCTTTGCCATCACCTCAGGCAGGAGCAGGGTGAGGGGCAGGGGCACCAACTCAGTCTTCAATCAGGATCAGGTGGCTGCGGAGGAAGCCCTCTCCCCTTCCCGTGCATCTGCTGTAAGCAGCATCCCCTGGCCTCTGCACAGGAAACCAAGACTCTGGTGCTTCCCTGGTCCAGCAGGTCAATGCCTTGGCACCTGTTACACAGACCCCTTGAGCTGTCTAGCTCCTGGCAGCAGGAGCCCAGCCCTTGTCCCCCAGGTTGGAGCTCCCAAGCTGATGCGTGGAGGGAAACCCCGTGTGCCGATAGCGGTGGGAATGGCTGTTCTCTGTCCTGCCGTGGGTCAGTGCACAGCTCCCCAGCTCCTGCCCTCTCCTGTTGCCTGGTTCTCCCTGAGCTCTGCCCTGAGCATCTCAGTGTCACTGACAGGTGAGGTGTGTTTGAGGTCAGCCCTTGTGGCCTCCGAATCTGCTCTGCCTTCCTTAAAAGGGTCAGCCAGGGGCTGTTGTTGCCTTGCCACGTGCTGCCAGGGCCTGGGTTGCCAGCTCTGACATACAGCAGAGAGGGGGAAGGAGTGTGCACCGCCCTCCCTGGGTGAGCCCGCCCTGGCCCCCGTGCCAGACATCCCTCCCAGGCCTCTGAACACACCACCAGCCTGTCCCCGTCACAGCATAAGTGGGCACCGGGGTGAGAACAGTGCTGCAACCCCTGTGTCGCGGGAGGGGCTCCTGGCCCTATGGTGACTCCAGCCCAGGGAGCCCCTCTGACCCAGGCTGAGTGGCTCTGAGTCTTGTGTGTAGGAGCTGATGGGGCTGGGAAGGACAAGGGGCTGGGGCTGGGGCTGTGGAGAGAGGACAGATGTGTGAGAGGGCAAGGAGCCGTGTACGCCTGTGATGCCCAGGACAGCTGGGTGCAGGGGTCCCTATCACCAGCCCTGTGCAGCTGGATCTCCTGCACTGGGGTGCAAAGGGCTCACGCAACTGTCGCTGTCAGCAAGGGCAATGATGGCAGCTACCATTCCTGGGGCTCCCGCCTGAGCCTCTAGCCAGCCCAACCCCCTTCCCACTGTGCCTGCTGCTCCCTGCCCTGGGCCTCTGCAGAGCTGGTTCTGCTTCTGCTGAAAGCCCCTGGTGCTGCACCCTGCTGCAGCCTGGCAGGGGAGGAGGGCACAGGACACTGCCCAGCCTGCCCCAGACGTAGGGCCCTGTGAGGACCTCGGCCTGGTCTGTGCCTTGGCAGAGTCCCCAGGGCAGGGACTGGGCCAGAGCAGGGGCTGGGCCTACCTGGTGTCTGGGCAGGGGGGATGCAGAAGAGCCCCTGTGAGAAGCGGGAGGGCCTCAGCCACCCCAGGGCAGGTACACAGGAGTGCAGCAGCTGGCACTGGGGCAGGGGCTCATCCCCCATCAGAGGCACCGCAGGCAGGAGGCAGCCCCAGCAGTCTCCCCAGGGAAGCAGTGGGAGGTATAAAGACTGCCCCCACACCCAACCAGAGTTCCTTGTGGGGCTGGGGCTGCCTTGGGCTGTGTTGCCCACCCCCACTGTGGGACTCCCAGTGCCTCAGTCCAAGTGTCCTCTGCCCGCCCAAATTGTGCCACCCCTGGGCGGGGGTCCTCCCAATCACAGTAGAGACCCCAGCCCTCACTCTGCTTCCCAATCCAGACTTGCCCTGGCGGGTTTGACATTGCCCCTTGCTCTGCCAACTTTCCCCTTTCCTTTCCAGTGGCTCATTCCCACCCCTTCTCCCCAGCCCTGGGCTCCTGGGTTCCTAGGGTGTGTGTGGGCTGCAGTTGTGTCCCTTCAGCCTTGGTCTCTGTGAATGGAGCCCCTGAGCTGTCCCAGTGCTACCTGCCCCTCATGAGGTGGGATCTGCTCCTGCCCAACCTGGCAGCCCTTGGTGGCACCTGTTCCCTGGGGCTGTGACCCGAACCCAGACCTGGATCTGTCTGTGTTTCAGGGTCTCACACTCTCCAGTTCATGTACGGCTGTGAGCTTGGTGAAGACAACAGCACTGAGGGCTACATGCAGTTTGGCTATGATGGGGAAGACTTCATCAGCTACGATCTGAGAACACACACCTGGGTAGCAGTCCCAACAGAGGCCCGGGTCACTCAGAGCAGGTGGAATGGGGATAAGAACCTTCTTCTGATTGTAAGAGCCTACCTGGAGTGGAAGTGCATCGAGTGGCTACGGAAGTACCTGCAGCACGGGAAGGCAGCACTGCAGAGCAGTGAGTCCCAGTGTCACCCACCCAGGACAGTACTGAGAAGGGCACCCCTTCCCCCTGGGGAACGCTCACCCAATCTCCCTGTGTTTGGGGTGGCATGTGCTTTGTCCTGGTCCTGATCCTGGTCCTGGCCCTGGGCCACGACCCAGTGCTGCTGTGTGATACAGTGCGCTCTGTCCCTGCCCTGGTCAAGCCCCTGGCTGGGTGGAGCCCATGAGTTGTCTGTGCCCCAGCCATGTGTCTGAGAACCAGAGATCAGCTGTATCAGACCCCGTTCCTGAAGACCCAAACCCAGCATAGCCAGGTCTCCTGTCCCCTGTGCTCCCTCCCTGATGCTGTCTGGTCCTGCTTGAAATGGCTGACAGAGCCAGCTGTGTATGGCCCAGTGCAGGGACCCAGCCCGGCCTCCTGGCAGCGATGTCAGACCCAAGGGGCCAGTCGCTCTAACAGGTGTCTCCTCCCTCCCAGAGTCCCCCATGTCACAGGTGAGTGACAGACCATCATCCTGGGCCAGACTCACCACCCTGTCCTGCCAGGTCCACGGCTTCTACCCCAAAAACATCTCTGTCGTCTGGCTGAAGAACGGGGTGGCGCAGCCTCAGGAGACGAGTTGCTCAGAGGTCCTTCCCAGCGGAGACGGGACCTACCAGACCTGGGCCACCATCGAGATCGACCCAAACAGCAACCACAACTACACCTGCTGTGTGGAGCATGTGAGCCTGGGTGCAGACCTGAGAGTGGCCTGGGACAAGAGCAGACAGAGTGAGTGACCCCTGCATGGAGAGGGAGGAGACCCCAGCCCCTAGCGGAGGGAGGGGCTTCTTAACCCTGCTAAGTGGGAAAGACTGGTGGGGTTGGAGGAGACACGGGGCACCCATGGGAAGGGGACACTTGGGCCCTGCAGCAGGGAGGGCAGGTCTGGGGGTTCCCCTTGCTCACAAGCCCCTTCCCTCTGTCAGAGCCTGAGTCCAGCCTGAATTTGGCCCTCATTATCACGATCGTGCTGGTCATTATTGCTGCGATGAGCACAGCTATTTACTTCCTCAGTAAGTGCCAGGTGAAGTTTTTGGGGTCAGTCCATGCCTAGGCCTTGATGGAGCGGGGTGGGGCCTTGTCATCACTGCTCTGCCTGGGACCTGGGGGGATACTGTGGATTCTCCGGCTGCTCTGGACTCCCAGGTCCACATGCTCCAGGGGCAGCAGCAGCCAGACCCCACCTCCAGTGCTGTGCGGCTGCCTTGCTGAGGGCCCTGAGGGCTCTTGGGCTCCATGTGAACCGTGCCGCACAGCCCCATTGTCCTCCCCCAATGTGGGTGTCCTGGGCCCTGCATCCTGGTCTCAACCCATGGCTCCATGCTGGGCAGGCAGCTCCTCTCAGGGCTGTGGCCCCAGGTCAGAGCCATCCCTCGTTGAGGAAGCAGCTGCACTCGCTGACCTCTGCCTTCTCTCTGCAGGGAAATGGGGACCGGGGCACAGAGCAGAGACCTTGTAAGTGCGCAGCCCCCTCCAATCTCTCCTTGTCACTGGTGCTGGGGGGCTCTGTTGAGCCTCACTCCTGCCCTAAGTGTCACAAGGGTGCCCATCACTGTGGTATCTGGGGGTTCCTGCCAGCAGGGCTCACATGGGGCATGCGAGGCATGGGGTTGCTCAGGGACTTCTAATCCCCTCTTTGTCCCCACTCAGCCTGCAAAGGCTTTGATGGCTCCTTTGAGTTTCAGTGTGAGGGACCCAACCCAGGGGAGGGACTTCTGGGGCCTGGCTGGTAAGGGGGTGGATGGAGAGCCAGCCTGTGGGTCTGACTCAGGGAGGTTGCAGGATGGCCCTGCCATGGGTCTGCCTGGGTGGAGGTGGCAGCTCTGGCTGCATGTGGGGCCAAAGGGCTCCTAGCAACCCAAACCCCCTCTGTGCGAGCCCTGTGTGGGGGGAAGGGAAGGGGCAGATACCCTCCCTATCGTGAAGGGCCTACTGGCTGCACTGGCAGCAGCTCATGCCCACCTGGCTCTCCTGTGCCCAGGGTACAAGGTGCAGGGTGGAGCTGGGGGAATCTCAGGGGCCGGAGACACCTGGCTAATGTCTGTCCTTCCTCCCTGCACAGGGAGCAATCGCAGCTCCAGCACCCGCTTCAAAGGTAAGTTCAGGGGACTCTGGCTCAAGGTATCCCACAGGGGAGACACTGCACCTCTCCGACCAGCCTTGGGATCCACGGGTCACCCCATGCCAGGCAGCCATGGGGGCTGAGGGCCAGGAGAGCTCCATGGCTGGCTGTGCACCAGCCCGTCTGCTCCTGGGGGGAGAGGGGCAGGGTGGGGTGTCCATCACCCCCCCAGGAAGACTGGGCCTTGAGGCCTGCAGATCTGGGCAAGGGGCTGAAGTCCAGGCACTGCTGGGAGCAGAGCTAGTGAAGCACAGGGGACCTGGCAGTGCCAGGTGTGTTGAGGGTGGACATCTCCTCAGAGCAGGGTGACCCTGGCTGGAGCCAAGCAGAGGTCAATGCCTCCCCAGTGCTGCAGTCCCTACAGCTCCAACATCTTCCATGTCTCATTCCCACAGCTCAGCGGAGCCTCGTGAGGCCCATGACAACTCCTGTGAGACCAGTGGAAGAGGAGAGACAGATCACTGAGGAACCCATGCTGATTCAGCCCTTCCAAAAGACTTGCTTTTATTGCCTTGATTTTGCAAAACAAAGCCCCTTGCTGTGGGACAGGACATACTGAGCTGGGGAAGGGCATGCATTAAGGCAGAGGAGTATTGGGGTGGCTCAGGCTGGGGGCAGTGGTAGGTGTTGTGGGGCTGCAGCTGTCTCCAGGCAGCACACCTGCCCCGCCAAGTCCCACCCTGGCACAGCCAGATCTGAGCCTCCTGCTGGCTGTGTCTGTCATATTGAATGAAATAGTTTGAATGTTTGTAAAGATTGCCCATTAGCCAGTTTCAGGAAGAAGATAGGATCTATCTCCTTATCTAGCTCATTGTTTCGGAGCTACGTGCAAAATGTCCTGACTTCGCCTAAAACCTTAATCTAAATTGTACCTTTAGAAGTTTTTTACAAAGAAAGTAAATGTCCTAAATTCCGAGATATCAAAAGCCTAAGGCCTTTTAACCAGACTGGTAAAAAGAAAAGAGTATTTACAGTGATATGGAAGTCTCCCCAAGAATAATTTAAAAAAATGCTCAACAAAGGTAATTTCTGTTGAGTAAGATCCGAGCCCAAATTTGGGAGTTATGATGAATTGAGTAGGAGGAGCCCAATGACGGCAGCTCACTCAATAAAAACCTGTAACTTACTGTCCCAATTTGGAGGTAACTTCACTTGCAGAACAACGAAGGAAGAATCGCAAGTATAAGGTCGGATTAGATTGATCGCCTAATCAAGCCTCTCCGTGAACACGAATCTCTTAGTTCACGCTGAAGCCGCGGAGCGCCCGAAAGGGACTGAAGGAAGGGGACGTAGTCCTATCACTGGTGAGCCCAGCTCATTGAATCGCATTGCTGAGGCCAGCCTATTGAACCGTACTACTGAGGCCAACCCATTAAATCGTACTACTGAGGAATGAAACCATATTTGGGTATTTGGCTTCTCGGAATTCTAGGATTGTAAGTATATTATGAAAAATAACAGTATTGATTCAAATTTAACTTTTAGTTGTAATTGTAGTTGTTTTTGTAACACTAATTCTTATAGCATTGTTTGGGAAGGAAGTGCATTCGGAGCATTGTTTCTGATATATGTAATTATTGTGTTTTTAATGTTTGTGGTGTTTCTTAAAGCTAAGCAGTGTTATATACGTAGCAAAGAGTTTTAAAATAAAATTGTGTTGTATAAATTAAGTGTGTAATCATTGTGAAATCGTGCAATCAGCTAACTACCCCCCCAGCCAGTGCATCAAAACGAATCAGTAAATTGTGTGGGATTTTCTCTATTCCATAACCCACTAGAGACATGGCGTCACGAACAGGATGCGCTGGTTGCCCATTTCAAAATGGGATGAATGTGTTGCAGCATTGCACGTTCCACAATGATAATGAGGGAACTTGGAAGGTAAATATAAGGGATTTTAATAATGAGGATGAAACAATCACGTATAGTTTTATGTTTACACAAGAAAGTTTAAGATGCTGTCTGGGAGGAATTCAGAAATCATATGGTCCACAAGATTGGAGTTTAGAAAATAAAGAAGTAAAGCCAGAAGTAAAGGTGTGTAGGAAGAAAGAAAGTAAAAAAGAAGAGGGAGGTTTTCGAGAGATAATGCGAAAGGTGTTAGGGAAAGGAGTTTACGATCAGTTAAAATTGCCATTAGCAAGGGAGATAACGTGTTCAAGAGCAGGAGAGATACTAAAAGCGTTAGAAGTAAATTGCAAACAAGCAGCAGGAGGTCCTTTGAAAAAACCTAATTACCCGTCCCTCTTAGGAGAGGCAGCTCGGGGAATCATTCACTTATTGCATGAGGTAGAAAATTTAGCAGCCGAGAATAATGTTTTAAAATTGGTTATGAACCAGAGTAAAGTGAATGAAACAGAGGAGCATGGAGAGAAACCAAGTAAAATATCTGTGCAACCTACTGCACCCTCTCCAATTACTCCATCCACGCCACCACCATATGCAGAAGTTACAGTAGAATTGAAAGAATTAAAAGCTGACTATGAGGTAGGAGAAGCAGCTAAGGGTAGAGCAGAGCCAATACTGGAGGCATGTCCTATAGTAACTACTAGTTGGAAACAACAAGGCACAAATCCTGCAGTTAGGCAGAATATCTATAGAGAAAGGAACAGGGAGGAAATAGAGGATTTGGCTAGGAGAACAGCACGACGTACGAATGAAAATTGCTACGTGTGGCTAGGAAGGATTATAGAGGAAGAAAATGGAATAGGAACCCTATTAAGTTCAGAGGAGGCCCTTCCACTGATGAGAAATTCAGGATGGAGTAAGGGGGCAATTCTCATAAATACCATGAATATAATTCCGGGAGGCATGTATCCCATAACTTTAGCTGGATTAATTGCCACCGGGGTAAAAAATCATTTGGGAGCTCTAAGCTTTCCCCAAAATTTAGAAGGGGGTATGAATAGCATCAGGTATATAATATGGGGAATTAGTTTTGCCCATTGGACAGCACCCCCAAACACCCTATCGGCAGTACAACAGAGATTAAGGAATGATTGTTTGTTTATCACCACTCCTGAACAAATAACTTGCAACAGGATGTCGTTAGAGGTAGCAGCAAATGTTCTGAAAACTCCAGGAGTAAAAGCCTGGCTACTCCCGTTGGTGGAACAAACACCCTGGGAAGTAGCTGATCAGATAGGAAACATAGTGCAGGAGGAAGAAATGAAGAAAAATCCCAAATTAATAATATAGAACACCATGTGCACACTCCTTATCATCCACAATCTAATGGGGTTGTGGAAAGACACATTGGTATTTTGAAGACACAATTGAAAACAAATTTAAAATCAATTTCTTTTAAAAACTGGGATGCAGTATTGCATGTCACCTTAATTCAGTGCAATAATGATAAAACCATGTGGTTGAAACACGAAAAGAAAGAGTTTATAAGTATAAAAAGGGTGATAAAGTGTGGATACACCTACCCAAAGAAGAAAAAGTAACAAAAGGTGT